CGACCCGATCTAAAATATCGTGTTTCCAGGTTTTGTCGTGCAGGAATCAAACCTCGCACCCAAACAAACTGCACCGTCTCCACGCCACTCAGGAATAAACTACCTGCAGATCCGCGCCAAACTGCTCTATTTACGTTACGCAGGACTTTCCGTCTACCTGGCGATCAACGTTCACGTTTTGTATATAACTTTCCTAACATAGTAAAATATGCATTGTATATTCCATTTAAACTTTAAAAACACTGTGCAACGCCTACAGACAATCCTAAAGTTTTAGTGTATCCAATTACAGACAGTCGGTTTTCATAACAGGCGTCTGCGTACCTTTATTTGTAGAGTTGTGCAGGGCCCTGCCGATTGTCTGAGATGTTTGAAAGCGTTTGTTCCCGACCCATTCTGGTCGTCTGGATTCTTCCTCAGCTTCGTTATATCTGGCACGTCGAGGGTCACCATTTGTTAGAGATTTAAAGGGATAACTGATCCGCTTTTCAAATCTCCGCGCGTCCCTATCAAGCTGGTTAATACAGGAAGGAATCCAGAGCTACCAAGTAACCGTTAAACAATAATCTACTTTAATGGTAATATGACAATGCAATACAATCATTACAATACAAAATAATATATTACAATTATATTGTAATGGTTAAGGAGTATGCCGGCCTACTCCTGCCCTGGTTCGCGTGCTGCGGAGATCCTTTCGGTCGGGGCAGCATGTGAAGAGAGACCGAACGCCAGGGATCTCCAGGAGATATACCAGAATAAGAAGGAGGGGTTAGGGGTTAGGTCAGCTGGTCATCTTTTCAGGTCATCTCATTGGGAGACGCAACGCTGGCCAGCAGGAAACCAAACAGGCTCACTTTCCAACAAAAGGTCTCAAGGCCTGCATACCTACACCTCCCCCACAGAGCAATAAAACCCTGTTTACTCCAACCAGCCCAGAATGTTTATAGCCATTTTTAGTCCTTACATTTATGAAAGGATAAAACAGAGAAATCAATATAAAACACAAACATAGGTATTGTTTGAACAGTATTCACTTAACTGCTACTATTGATAACCACCAGAGAAACCCAAGGGACCTCTCTTAATATCTATCTGGAATTTGCAACAAGACTTTCTGCCATTTCAAATGTAACACATTTCTTAAATATCAGATGATAATACTCTACACTTGGGATCCCCCAGTCAGAGCTGGTTGATGTCGCCAGGGAAAAGGAAGTTTGGGGCTCTCTGCTGGAACTGCTACCTCCGCGACCCGACCACGGATAAGCGGGAGAAGATGGATGGATGGATGGAGGCTTAAATGCTAATGGGAGTTGGGTTTGCACTTCAGTCTTTTTTCTTTTGGTACCGCCGGTGATATTCACGTTCGGGTGATGCCTTTTCAAATGAGTGTGCAAGTTTGATGTATTGCCAGCCGCGTAACCAATGTTAGTTGAACAATGCCGACAAACAGCTTTGGTTTGGTCCACCTGTCTTTGTCCGTCATCCTTGTACGTAACTGTGAAACCAAAATATTCCCAAACCGGAGACTTCAATGATGCTGGAGGATTTTCCAGCTCAACTTTATCTGCGTTCGCCATTTCGACAGTTCCTCAAATTACTGACTACATTTTAACGCATCCCTGTGATCAGCTCTCTAGTATGCCTCTCGTCCAATGAAATGACTTGTACGCTCTATGACGCGTTGAACCCAATGTGAGCAAATTACTGAGACGCAGCACTTGAGATTACTTCCAAAAAGTTGTTCACGTTCTCAATTTTTTACGTTTAACGTTATATTCGTTACACACGTGTACCGAAGTGTACCGAACCGAAGGGCCCATACCGAATAATTTCGGTACGTGTCCCGTTATACCCCTATTGTTTACATAAATGGTGATCAAACTGTTTTGAGACCCACTGAGATAACTTAGACTAAAGTTAACTATCTAAACACTGAGAGAGTCCTTTACCTCACTGAGCTGACGTTATCTGACAGGAGAGGACTTTCCTTAGACACTTAGTTGTAGAAACAGCTTCTAATATCCGTTAGCGCAGCGACAACTTGCTCTCTCTCTCGCTCACTTGTGCGCTCGTGCCACACACACGGAGCTGAGCTTGAATGAAACACCCAGAAGTAGGCTACTTGTACTGTACTGTAGCATATCATTTTCGAATCAATCATTTTTCAAATTATGAATTTCACATATATAAAAAGAAAACATACATTTATTGGGGTTGCTTAGCAGTTGCTAGGCCAATTGTTGGTGTTGCTGTAGCAACTGCAAGCTACCGCCTGGCGCCGCCCCTACACCTACGATAATTACTTTATCAACAGTAATATTCACATTAATCGGGCGGCGCCGAAGATACACCTGCCTTTTACTTTTTCCTGCGGAGGGCCGAGCCCCGTTCAACTCACTAGCAACACAGAGTGGGCTTCGCTCGTGTGGAGGCTACTGCCAACTGTCATCGCCGGCGCCGAGCCCTGGGCCAGTAGTCCGGGCCCCGTCTATCCAGGACGGGTTTCCATCGGCGGATCGGGTAGGCCTATGCTTACCTGCTGAGTGGATCTTGCCCGCTCTTCCCCTCTGACTATTACGATGGCGTATTTTCCTGTGTTCCTCTGCCTTGTCGTGGCATGGAGTTTTAGCGGCTATGCTATCGGCAACCCAGACTCTTTACGCCCGCGGCTGGTTACCGCAGATGGTGTGACATCCACACGGGGCCATGAACATAATGTGTCGCATGTGATTCGTTTTGGAAATGTTTCTCATTGAAATTACTGCCCCTGGGTTCGCGAGATCTGTTGTTTTCCTGGGGCCTTCACCGTGGGAAACCCTACAGATGCCCTTTGCCAGTATTCTTCTTCTAACTCTTCTAGTCTCCCGACTATAACGAAATTTAAGCAGAAGTGCTTAATCATGTTGCTTCTACTTCTGTCTGGTATTCAGCCTAATCCTGGTCCTTTAATGGCATGTAATACCCCAACGGACTTTAAGAACTTGTCTGGGTTACACATCATCCATGTAAATGCTCGCAGCCTGCTTCCCAAAATGGATATGTTGCGAATTTGGTCAGAGTCAACTGGAGCTGATCTAATTATTGTTTCTGAGACTTGGCTTTCAAAGAAAATATTGGATAAAGATGTCGGAATTGACGGCTTCAATATTTATCGTTCGGACCGCCCCAGGAAAGGTGGTGGCGTGGCGATTTACGTAAAACATAATCTTGCTGCACAGGTCATCTTCTCCAAATCTGCTGTTAAGCAGTTTGAAATCTTAGCACTAAAGATTGATTTATCTGGTGGTCAGTTTTTAACTGTTGTTGGTTGCTATAGGCCCCCTTCTGCTACAAACGACACATTATCCTCGCTAATGCAGCTTTTATCTCAACTACAGTTTAAGGAAATCATCCTGGTAGGTGATTTTAACTGGGACTGGCTTTCACCAGTGTCTGATGATTTTAAAATTCATTGTATGTCGCTAAATTGTACACAATTAATTCAAAGTCCTACTCGTCTTCACACCAGGTGTCTAAATAAATCATCTCTTATCGATCTTTTAATTACTAATCAACCCCATAAATATACTGCAACCGGGGTCTTTGCTAATGACCTAAGTGATCATTGTCTAGTTGGTGCTATTAGGGATACCAAAATCCCCCGTACCAAACCCTGTGTTGTTCTGAAAAGAAATGTTAAGCACTTTATAGAGCAAGCCTTTCTTCATGACTTAGTTCATTTAAAATGGGATCGTATTTTATTGATTGGTGATGTTGACCATGCTTGGAAGTATTTTTATGACAGTTTTAGTTATTTTTTAGATAAACATGCTCCGTTTCGCCGGTTCAGGGTGAAGGGCCGTGATAACCCCTGGTTCACTTCTGATCTGGCAGCCCTCTTACGCAAGAGGAATCTCCTTTGGGCTGCTGCGAGGAAGACAGGTTCTGAGGCTGACTGGCTTCTTTTTCGTCAACTGCGTAATCGCTGTACTGCTTCCATTAAAAAAGCCAAAAGCGATTTTTACTTATCCCAGACCACAGACAGTTTAAACGATCCTAGGAGATTTTGGCATACCATCAAATCCCTCTCTGCCAGCTCTCGCTCCTTAGAGCTGCCTCCTAACATTGTTGTTGACTCCACCCCTGTGTCAAATAAGACAGAGATGCTTAATTGTTTTAATAAACATTTTATTGCCTCCAGTTCCTTGTTTGACACATTATCTTTTGGTAAATCATCTCCCTCCATCACCACCAGTCATGCCACTAGTAGCCACACTTTCTCCTTCAACCCCTTCAATGTTGGGGAGGTTTGTAAGGCTCTAAAGGGCCTAGACCCCAAAAAATCAGCAGGTCCGGACGATCTCCCCCCTTATTTCTTACGGCTAGCTGCAGATATTATAGCCAAACCACTTTGTCATGTTTTTTAATCTTTCTATAACAAGCAATGTCATTCCAGATGTTTGGAAAACTGCAAATGTTCTCCCCTTATTGAAAGGTGGTGATCCCATGGTGATGAATAATTACAGACCAATTTCCAAGCTCTCTATTTTAGCTAAAGTACTTGAAAGGCTGGTGAATGATCAGGAAAGGAGGGCATCTAATTCCTCCAGGAATTCCCCTACATGACCTGGTGGTAGAGAACAACCATGATTAATTGAATAAGGTAAGTTATTGTATCGGTAACATGGAGTAAAGTGTGGGAATAGGTGAAAACTCAATTTAAGGAAGATAAGAAGTGCCTCCCAGTTGGTCTGGGTGTTTGGGTGAAGCAATAGCCTGAGTTCAGAGCTGCAGGGGTGGAGGTGTTGAAGGTTGGGTGGAGGGTTGGTTGTTGTATGGTGTGATCCACGTGTCGGTGAGAGCAAGGAAATTCAGTGATTGTTGGGAGGCGTAGCCTCATAAAGCCGAGGTTAGGACCTTTTTGTGTTTCACCGTCAGTCAGACCATCAGTAACACCAGGCTCCTTAGATCAGATCAGATTCTTCTCAGTGTCTGTGCTCCTGGTTTAAAATCCCTGTCTGTCTGCAGCTCGATGCCATCTCTACAACGAGGACTACAAGAAAATGCCTCCACCCAAACCCAAGAGGAACCCGAACACTCAGCTCAGCACCTCCTTTGACGAGTCTTACATGGGCAACCTCGGCAACAGGAAGGCTTCGAGTCCGGCATCGAGAGACGGTGAGGAGCCGGTCTACATCGAGATGATGGGAAACATTCTTCGTGAGCTGAGCGGTCGGGAGGACGACGAGCAGAGCGAGGCGGTCTATGAGGAGATGAAGTACCCGATGCTGGAGGACTTCCTGCAGGACGCTCACAGTGCCATCATGGACTCTGAAGTCTGGGAGACCCGGGGTTGCGACATCCCTCCCCCATTCCCCAACCTCCTGACGCATCGTCCACCGCTGTTGGTCTTCCCCCCCGCCCCCGCTCAGTGCTCCCCAAACTCAGACGAGTCGCCCCTAACCCCTTTGGATGCCGGCCGGCTGCCCGTCATGGATAACGTTTCCTTCAGCAAGTCGGGCGGTGCTGAACATCCACAGATCTCCACCCACCATCGCAAGGACAAAGACAGAGACCGGGACCGGGACCGGGACCGGGACCGAATCCAGGACCGGGACCTGTCCTCCACCTACACCATCACCTCCTCCGGACGCTCCTCAGCTCCGCCTCTCCACCCCTACAAGTCTTCTGGCTCCACCCACAGTGGTCATGGTTACCCGCGCAGCCAATCAGCATGTCCGTCCCCGGTTAGCATGGGGCGCTCTCTGACTCCTCTGAGCCTGAAGAGGCCGCCGCCGTACGACGCTCTTATTGCGGGAGGAAGTATTCCTCGCTCTTCCTCTTCCTCATCCTCCCACCGCGGAGGAGGGGAGGGCGGAGCCAGACTCAGTAACTCCTCCTCCACTCACGGATCAATGCAGAACGTGTCGATGAGGTCAAAGACTCCCACCAGCCCATTGGACGAACTCAACCATCTGTTCACCTCAGGAAGACATGTGACCAAGAAGGGAGGCAGGAAGAGCCGTGGAAGTGAAGGTACAAAATTAGTACTGCATCACATTGGTTTCCAATTTGTATTTCTGTTCAATATGTGGGGTTTTTAGAACAAGAAAGGGTCTGAAGACAGAAAGTGAAGGTTAACCGTGAGTCCTGCCTCAAAACCACAGCAGTCGTAAACCAGCCCTCACTATAAGCTTTATAGGAGAGTCTTCAGTCTATAGCAGCAGAACTAGGAGCTGGTCCCAGGTCAGTCTGAACCAGCCCTCACTATAAGAGGAGAGTGTTTAGTCTATAGCAGCATAACTAGGAGCTGGTCCCAGGTCAGTCTGAACCAGCCCTCACTATAAGAGGAGAGTCTTCAGTCTATAGCAGCATAACTAGGAGCTGGTCCCAGGTCAGTCTGAACCAGCCCTCACTATAAGAGGAGAGTGTTCAGTCTATAGCAGCATAACTAGGAGCTGTTCCCAGGTCAGTCTGAACCAGCCCTCACTATAAGAGGAGAGTCTTCAGTCTATAGCAGCATAACTAGGAGCTGGTCCCAGGTCAGTCTGAACCAGCCCTCACTATAAGAGGAGAGTCTTCAGTCTATAGCAGCATAACTAGGAGCTGGTCCCAGGTCAGTCTGAACCAGCCCTCACTATAAGAGGAGAGTGTTCAGTCTATAGCAGCATAACTACCAGCTGGTCCCAGGTCAGTCTGAACCAGCCCTCACTGTAAGAGGAGAGTCTTCAGTATATAGCAGCAGAATTAGGAGCTGGTCCCAGGTCAGTCTGAACCAGCGCTCACTATAAGCTTCATCAGATTAAACTGGAAGCTGGTTCTTCAGGAGAGAAGTCTATGTTCTCTGTTGTCTTGGCTGAATAAACGAGGGTTTATGTCTTGTTCTCATGTCTGGTGTTGTTGTGTCTCAGGAGACTCCCGGTCTCTGCCGAGGCACGGAACCAGAGACAGAGATGGGCAGAGCAGTCCGGTTTCAGGCCGGATGGGGAGGTCGTCTGTCAGTCCGACCATGATGCTGTCCGGAGGTTCAGGAGGTGAGTCTGAGGGCTATAGGACTACTTCATATTTGTCAGATTTACCTCTTCAGTTTTTACCACATCAGATTTACCTCATCAGATTTACCTCATTAGATTCACCTCATCAGATTCACCTCATCAGATTTACCTCATTAGATTCACCTCATCAGATTCACCTCATCAGATTCACCTCATTAGATTCACCTCATCAGATTCACCTCATTAGATTCACCTCATCAGATTCACCTCATCAGATTCACCTCATTAGATTCACCTCATCAGATTTACCTCATTAGATTCACCTCATCAGATTTACCTCATCAGATTCACCTCATTAGATTCACCTCATTAGATTCACCTCATCAGATTCACCTCATTAGATTCACCTCATCCGATTCACCTAATTAGATTCACCTCATTAGATTCACCTCATCAGATTCACCTCATTAGATTCACCTCATCAGATTCACCTCATTATATTCACCTCATTATATTCACCTCATTAGATTTACCTCATTAGATTCACCTCATTAGATTCACCTCATCGGATTCACCTCATTAGATTCACCTCATTAGATTCACCTCATTAGATTCACCTCATTAGATTTACCTCATCAGATTCACCTCATTAGATTCACCTCATCAGATTCATCTCATCAGATTCACCTCATTAGATTCACCTCATCAGATTCACCTCATTAGATTCACCTCATTAGATTCACCTCATCAGATTCACCTCATTAGATTCACCTCATCAGATTCACCTCATTAGATTCACCTCATTAGATTCACCTCATTAGATTTACCTCATCAGATTCACCTCATTAGATTCACCTCATTAGATTTACCTCATTAGATTCAACTCATCAGATTCACCTCATTAGATTCACCTAATCAGATTCACCTCATCAGATTCACCTCATTAGATTTACCTCATCAGATTCACCTCATCAGATTCACCTCATCAGATTCAACTCATCAGATTCACCTCATTAGATTCACCTCATCAGATTCACCTCATTAGATTCACCTAATTAGATTCACCTCATTAGATTCACCTCATCAGATTCACCTCATTAGATTCACCTCATTAGATTCACCTCATTAGATTCACCTCATCAGATTCACCTCATTAGATTCACCTCATCAGATTCACCTCATTAGATTCACCTCATCAGATTCACCTCATTAGATTCACCTAATCAAATTCACCTCATTAGATTCACCTCATTAGATTCACCTCATTAGATTCACCTCATCAGATTCACCTCATTAGATTCACCTCATCAAATTTACCTCATCAGATTCACCTCATCAGATTCACCTCATTAGATTCACCTCATTAGATTTACCTCATCAGATTCACCTCATTAGATTTACCTCATTAGATTCACCTCATCAGATTCATCTCATTAGATTCAACTCATCAGATTCACCTCATCAGATTCACCTCATTAGATTTACCTCATTAGATTCACCTCATCAGATTCACCTCATTAGATTCACCTAATCAAATTCACCTCATTAGATTCACCTCATTAGATTCACCTCATTAGATTCACCTCATCAGATTCACCTCATTAGATTCACCTCATCAGATTCACCTCATCAGATTCACCTCATTAGATTCACCTCATTAGATTCAACTCATCAGATTCACCTCATTAGATTTACCTCATTAGATTCACCTCATCAGATTCACCTCATCAGATTCACCTCATTAGATTCACCTCATCAGATTTACCTCATTAGATTTACCTTATTAGATTTACCTCATCAGATTCACCTCATCAGATTCACCTCATCAGATTCACCTCATTAGATTTACCTCATTAGATTCACCTCATTAGATTCACCTCATCAGATTCACCTCATTAGATTCACCTCATCAAATTTACCTCATCAGATTCACCTCATCAGATTCACCTCATTAGATTCACCTCATTAGATTCACCTCATCAGATTCACCTCATTAGATTCACCTCATCAGATTCATCTCATTAGATTCAACTCATCAGATTCACCTCATCAGATTCACCTCATTAGATTTACCTCATTAGATTCACCTCATCAGATTTACCTCATCAGATTCACCTCATTAGATTTACCTCATTAGATTCACCTCATCAGATTCATCTCATTAGATTCAACTCATCAGATTCACCTCATCAGATTCACCTCATTAGATTTACCTCATTAGATTCACCTCATCAGATTCACCTCATCAGATTTACCTCATTAGATTTACCTCATTAGATTTACCTCTTCAGATTTACCTCATCAGATTACCTCATCAGATTTACCTCATCAGATTCAACTCATCAGATTTACCACATCAGATTTACCTCATCAGATTTACCACATTATATTTACCTCATTAGATTTACCTCATTAGATTCACCTCATTATATTCACCTCATTATATTCACCTCATTATATTCACCTCATTAGATTTACCTCATTAGATTCACCTCATTAGATTCACCTCATCGGATTCACCTCATTAGATTCACCTCATTAGATTCACCTCATTAGATTCACCTCATTAGATTTACCTCATCAGATTCACCTCATTAGATTCACCTCATCAGATTCATCTCATCAGATTCACCTCATTAGATTCACCTCATCAGATTCACCTCATTAGATTCACCTCATTAGATTCACCTCATCAGATTCACCTCATTAGATTCACCTCATCAGATTCACCTCATTAGATTCACCTCATTAGATTCACCTCATTAGATTTACCTCATCAGATTCACCTCATTAGATTCACCTCATTAGATTTACCTCATTAGATTCAACTCATCAGATTCACCTCATTAGATTCACCTAATCAGATTCACCTCATCAGATTCACCTCATTAGATTTACCTCATCAGATTCACCTCATCAGATTCACCTCATTAGATTTACCTCATCAGATTCACCTCATCAGATTCACCTCATCAGATTCAACTCATCAGATTCACCTCATTAGATTCACCTCATCAGATTCACCTCATTAGATTCACCTAATTAGATTCACCTCATTAGATTCACCTCATCAGATTCACCTCATTAGATTCACCTCATTAGATTCACCTCATTAGATTCACCTCATCAGATTCACCTCATTAGATTCACCTCATCAGATTCACCTCATTAGATTCACCTCATCAGATTCACCTCATTAGATTCACCTAATCAAATTCACCTCATTAGATTCACCTCATTAGATTCACCTCATTAGATTCACCTCATCAGATTCACCTCATTAGATTCACCTCATCAGATTCACCTCATCAGATTCACCTCATTAGATTCACCTCATTAGATTCAACTCATCAGATTCACCTCATTAGATTTACCTCATTAGATTCACCTCATCAGATTCACCTCATCAGATTCACCTCATTAGATTCACCTCATCAGATTTACCTCATTAGATTTACCTTATTAGATTTACCTCATCAGATTCACCTCATCAGATTCACCTCATCAGATTCACCTCATTAGATTTACCTCATTAGATTCACCTCATTAGATTCACCTCATCAGATTCACCTCATTAGATTCACCTCATCAAATTTACCTCATCAGATTCACCTCATCAGATTCACCTCATTAGATTCACCTCATTAGATTCACCTCATCAGATTCACCTCATTAGATTCACCTCATCAGATTCATCTCATTAGATTCAACTCATCAGATTCACCTCATCAGATTCACCTCATTAGATTTACCTCATTAGATTCACCTCATCAGATTTACCTCATCAGATTCACCTCATTAGATTTACCTCATTAGATTCACCTCATCAGATTCATCTCATTAGATTCAACTCATCAGATTCACCTCATCAGATTCACCTCATTAGATTTACCTCATTAGATTCACCTCATCAGATTCACCTCATCAGATTTACCTCATTAGATTTACCTCATTAGATTTACCTCTTCAGATTTACCTCATCAGATTTACCTCATCAGATTTACCTCATCAGATTCAACTCATCAGATTTACCACATCAGATTTACCTCATCAGATTTACCACATTATATTTACCTCATTAGATTTACCTCATTAGATTCACCTCATTATATTTACCTCATTATATTTACCACATTAGATTTACCTCATTAGATTTACCACATTAGATTTACCACATCAGATTTACCTCATCAGATTTACCACATTAGATTTACCTCATTAGATTTACCTCATTAGATTCACCTCATTATATTTACCTCATTAGATTTACCTCATTAGATTTACCACATTAGATTTACCTCATTAGATTTACCACATTAGATTTACCTCATCAGATTCACCTCATCAGATGTACCTAATCAGAACCTCTTCAGATTTACCTCATATATATTTCTGTTAGTTTTGACTGATGTAATAAAATCCACAGAATCAAAGTCAGTTTGTAAACTCGGCCGCTCAGCGTCGACTTCAGGAGTTCCTTCATCTCAACGTCCCCTGCAGGACCCCTCCCACCCGGCCCTCAGACAGGTACTGTGAACACCTGTCTGTCAGTTTGTCAAACACCTGTCTGTCAAACACCTGTCCGTCTGTCTGTCCGTCAAACACCTCTCTATTTACTTGTCAAACACCTGTCTGTCTGTCCGTCAAACACCTCTCTATTTACTTGTCAAACACCTGTCTGTCTGTCCGTCAAACACCTCTCTATTTACTTGTCAAACACCTGTCTGTCTGTCTGTCAAACACCTCTCTATTTACTTGTCAAACACCTTTCTGTCTGTCTGTCCGTCAAACACCTCTCTATTTACCAGTGTGAGAAAAAGTTTTTAGAGAGTACTTGTCCATGGACAAGTGAGTTTGGCAATTTACTTGTCCGAATACATTTTTCACTTGTCCATAGCTATACTTTGTGCATGCATTAATGCACCTATTTTAAATATGATTACATATCAACATAAAGCACACAAGAATCTAGGTTACTGTAGGTAACATTTTATTGTTTATTTGTTCATATTGTTCACAGTGTCTGGTTTCTGAACTTCTACCATCAAGGCACATCAAATGAATGTCAGATATAAAATAATAAGATAAAACAACTAAGTACTAACAATATAATGTTTTCTCCTCTGTGGGACTAGTAGACATGCTAGCAGAAATGTATGGCTTCAGGCTCAGGGTGGTTGTTCACTGCAGCTGTCTCCCGAGCTGTGGGGCAGCACTCCACTGGTTCTCCTCACACCGAGCTGTGGGGCAACAGGCACAGGTACGTTGCTGTTCACTGCAGCAGGCTTTGGGGCAGCTTTGACATACCTCTTGTTCTTAGCAGATGTTTTCCATTTCTGGATGGCTGGCTCTGGGTCAAACTCACCACTGTGGTGGTGATGTGACTGACCCTCATGAGTGACCCCAGAGTTTCATTGGTCATCTGGGATTTTCTGGATGTTTTTATGAGGTTCATGAGTGAAAATCCACGCTCCACGGCAGCAGAGGAGGGAGAAAGGGTGACCATCATGTACACCAGAACCAGGACGTCCTTCACATCTGGGTGGTTCTCAGTGAGAAGGTCACTTATGACCTCCTTGGGGGGCTGCCTCTGCCTGTACTTCAGTCTGGCCTTGAGAGCTGGCCACTGTCTAGGGATGTTGGTTACCTCCTCCTCACTGAGAACGGACTCGAAGTGGGTCACCATGTTCATAACCTGAACATCACCATATGTAGCTAGTTGTGCGTCTGATCTTGGGACGTTCCTGGGGTCAAGAACATGGAAATCACTGAAAGGGGTATCCTTCAGGAAGGAAAATCTCTTCTCTAGGAACTTCTCAGAATTCTCCAAGAAGGAATTCTTCACTGTTTCTGGAATACCTGTTCCTTTCAGTGAAGTGATGTGTCCATTGTTCTTACTGTCAAACTTGCCATCCTTGCAGGTTGCCATGTAGGCAGTGTAGACATCACCTCTATTATGCTTAAGGCCTTCCAACTTGATCCTGGCCTCACACAACTTTACATCAACATCATAAATGAACAGATCATTACTCTGGAATGCCAGACTCACGTTGGCCAACACTTCTAAGACATCTACCATAAAGTGGAGCCCATCAACAAACTTTGCAGACTTCAGTACCTTCAAGTACCCCACACACTTAGCTCCTTCTTCTGTTTTTCTGTTTGAAGCCTCTTCCATGTGTAGGATGACGGAGTTGTAATTTTTTATTACAGCCTTGTATGCCCGGAGTCTTGACGCCATCCACCTAGTGCCACAGGGTGCTGAGAAATAGACAGGATCCTCGTCTATAATGGCTGATATGGCATTCACCTCCCTCCTACGTTTACAAGATCCATAGTAGAATCTGTAGATGGGGTCCACTCCTTTCTCTACGATGTCAATGAAGTCAGTGGCTTTGGTGGCATCTAGGAGCGACAGCTCCAGCTTATGTGGAGCACACCAAATCGAAATGAGTACATGCCGTAACAATTCCCGCAACTTCACAATAACTCCTCCCTTGGCACCTTGGTTAACGCTGGCACCATCAAATGTGCAGGCTATTATTTTCTTCTTTATGTCTCCATCTGTTAGGTCGACATGATGTAGTGCCTCGAGGAGGGCTGCCAGAACACCATTAGCATCAGCTGACTTTACAGCCATGATGTCAATGAACTCTGTGGTTGGAAGTCCATCTTTGACATACCTGAAGATAGAAAATAAATAAAGTGCAATAAAAAAATGGAAAATGATTTGGCTTATATAAACCTTCCCACACCAGTGTTGCCTTCACCTTTTTTTAAGACTAAGAACACTAAAAAGCAACTTCACCTTCATTCGCTTTAAACAATGTATCTATATACTTTACCTGTTACAAACTTTTAAGTTAACTGAAAATTGAAACTAATAAACTGCATCAATAAAATGATTGTGAATTAATGACTCATAAACAAAAGGCCCTTTTTGGAGATAAAATGTAACTTAAATAAGACAATATATGCACTTACAAAATAATTCAAAATAATAATTACCTAACATATACATTCTCCTGTTCTGTCACAGATATATCCGTGGATCCATCTCCCATCAGAGTGAAGAATCTTGAAGCCTTGAGGTCTTCAGAAACTCTGTCCTTCTCAACTTCTGCAATGGCCTGCACAAATGCCTTGCACCCCTTATCGTTCCGGTACTGTGTCTGCATTTTAATGCCATTCTTCTCTCGAAGTTCGATGAGGCCCTCAAATGAACGGAAAGGCAGCTTTTGTTTGGCGACATAAAACGCAGTGTTGAACATGGGTTTCAGTTGGTCGTCCATATTTTCTGCCTGCTTCTTGAGAGCCACAAACATTGGCCCTGTGCCTTTCTCTGTGACCTCTTTCCTTTGAATGCAGAGAAGATTATATTTGCTGGACTCGTGTGACTGAAGTGTCTAAATGCGTTTTGACCCTGTGACACCCTCGTACAGTTTACTGTTGTGGTCAGCAATGGATGGATATTCTCTGCAGACCTCACAGAACATGATGTCGTCCACACATCTTATCCATGGAAACTGGGTTTTCCAAGTCTCAATAAATGTTCTTTTCCTCTTGGGTGTCAGGGCGATGTCACTCTTGGCCTTTTTAGATGGACCAGCCATTGGTGAGATAACGGAACATGGCCTTTTAGCAGAGGCTTTCTCGTGACTGGGGGGCCCATCGTTCTGCTCACACTCTGGGACTTTCTGAGGACTCGTTTCAGCATGTTCAGGCTGTTGTTCATACTCCTGTTCTTGCAGACAAATTATAGATTTTTGTCAACATGAATTTTAGGTACTCGTAGACTCCCCACAAACCTTTCTGCATTTTTTTGGGGTTTTTTTCTGAAATACTTTGATATGCCCCTTTCAAGCCCCTTGGTACATAAAGAGCCCCTTTCAATCCCCCCCTTTTAAATTATTTTTTTATTTTTACATAGGTCTACCCCTTTTTTATTATTATTTTTTTTAATTTCTTATTTCATAGTTTTTCATTATTTTTATTTGTATCTTCGATTTTATTTTTGATTTGATCAACCTGTGTGAATCTGTGCTGTCCTGTTTTTCACCCTTACCCTGTTGCTGTTTGAACTAGGCCTACTGAATTTCCCCACAGGGATTGTAAGTCGCTTTGGATAAAAGCGTCAGCTAAATGCAATGTAATGTAATGGATTAATAAAAGTCCCCTTTCAAGCCCTTAATCCACTATTTTCTGACATAATTTATTTCAATTATTTTCCTTGTTAATTTAACACACAATTTTACAACTGTGAGAATTATGTGTACAAACCTTCTTAGAAAATAAAAATCTTTTGTTGCCCTCTTGGGGCCACTAGAACCTTCTTCTTCGCCATCGTATTTTACATTTTCACGCAGTTTTACGACACGACGTAAGTGAGTAAAAAGGAAACGTAAAGCGGTTGCAAACAACAACGGCGGACACGGACAATTTGCGAATGAGTTATGCCTTTTGTAAGCTGAATTTGTCAATAAATAGGGGCGAAAAACGTCACTTGTCCATCGGACAAGTCAATTAAAAAATCTACTTGTCCGATGTTGTGAATAACACGTCCCGGACAGTGGGACGTGCACTTTTTCGCACACTGATTTACTTGTCAAACACCTGTCTGTCTGTCTGTCTGTCAAACACCTCTCTATTTACTTGTCAAACACCTGTCTGTTTACATGTCTGTCAAACACCTCTCTATTTACTTGTCAAACACCTGTCTGTTTACATGTCTGTCAAACACCTCTCTATTTACTTGTCAAACACCTGTCTGTCAAGCGCCTGTCTATTTTATCTGTCTGTCAAACACCTATCTGTCTACTTGTCTGTTTACCTGTCAAACACCTGTCTATTAACCTGTCTGTCCTTTGCTGAACAGAAAGTAAAAAACATTTTAGATGATATCTCCGAGCCATTAGCTGACTGATATAAGAACTGTAACATGTAAACGTATAAACACGAAAACATGTAAACATTTAAACATACAGTATAAACATATTCGTTGAGCTTATTGAAAGTGTTTCTCTGATTAGTTTAAAGTTATTTTAGTATTTTCTGTTTTGTGTGCATATTTTGTGTTTCAGTAAATCTTGTTTTGTGTCCTGAACTGTAATTCTGAAGTACATTTTAAAGTGTTGATAAACTCTATAAATAATGTGAATAATGACACTAACACAGGTATATTATTAAACACTAACATTAAACTAACCTCTCTGAAGCTGATTACTGTTTACAGAGAGGATCTGCTTCAGCTGGATATACTAACATTTCAAACGCTCATCACTCTGTACCTGTGTGTCAATGTTTGCTCACTTTATCACAATAAAATATATGATTCCTCTAAACTCACAGATATACTTTACATTTCTGAATGAAAGAAATATATTACATTACCTAAGGAATACGACCATCTAATCTCAAATCTCCACCTCTGTGCCAGTGGCGCCTCCAGAAATGTTTCATAGGGGTGGCCAAATGGGGCCTCTGAAAATCTTGGGGTGGCCCACCAAAACCAAGCATTTAATTGTTGTAAAAGTATAGACTAGATGAAAACAATGGCAAAGAGAATCACCTACTGATATACTTTGGTTTTTTATTTTACATTTTCTGATACTATTCATCTGAAGTGAATATAATACGGATAGTTAACATTTAACTTCAAACAACATTTAAAAGAACCTTGTTTTGTGTTATACATGTGTTGGTGATTTATTTATTTATTTTTTTATATATGCTAGTTTTAAAAAGACAAATACAGCTTAATTTAAATAAGTTCCTTTATTGTAAGGCACAAAATGTTCAGCATTCTCAACACATACAATACACAACAGCAACACAACATGTTCTTCAGTTATATTATGTCTCTAGGTTATACATTGTTTTAGACTGAACAAAGCTGTGTCACACTGGGATCAAAGATGATTGACATGACTTTATTAAATCAAGTTTTAAAACATGACTATTTTATTTCAACAGGACCCAAAAACACAAGGGGTATAACATGATAAATACATACTGTGATTGAACACAAAAACACCATCTATTATTGACCTTTATAGCAAATTCAAAACATTATAAATGATACAAAACACCACCTTTTAGTATTAGACAGAAAATAGGTGACGAGACATATTTGTATTTTTTTTAGATGAGGCCACTGTGGTGAGAGTAATACATATAGCTTGTATTCCATTTGTTTTGAAAATGTATATTTATACTTTATAAACAAACTGGTTACCCTTTTTTTAAATTAGCATACAGAACATTATGAAAACAAACTTGACTAATGGTCGGCTCATAACCTCAGAACACAGAAGAGGAAAAACTGCATAGATTCTCGTTTCATTTTGAAGGAGCTCCAAACCTAAAGTGTGTAGAAGACTTAAATGATTACAAAGGTCACAATCACATTAATAAAACTGTATTTAGGTTTTAGTTTCACTTTTACAACACAGAGTTCCACATGTACTTTCTAGCATGTAAGGCCATCTCCTCACTAGCCCTATGCTGCTGCTCCCCTGCCAGCTCTGTATCTCCTTTACTCATCTTCTTCTTACAATAAGAAGAGATGTCTGTTGACTTTCTCTTCATTTTCTGCAAATTGACATTACACACAGCAGTGATTAATAGTAGCCTACGCATTACACCAGCCCAGCATACCGACATCAGCTAACGTTAGCTTAGCAAGCTAAACTAACTAGGATAGCCGCCAAAGTGTGTTTACAGACGAATTATACCTGAAGTCAAGCCAGCCTTTACTGAGCCCCGAGCCTTTTTTCCAGGTCTTCCAGCGTTTTTCTCGTTTTAATGCCATTGAACACACATTTTGATCAGAATAGCAGCTAAAGCTAAGCATATCTCCGTTTTTTGCTACCTAAAGCTAACACACTAAAGCCTAAAGTGTTGTGGGGCTTAACAGGCAACGAACAAATATGACTTACCTTCTAGAAGTCTGGTGGATTTTTGTTAACTCCAGTCCAGTCAGTAGAAAGAAACGTTTTGCTGCAACCTGCTGCTGTCTGTGCAAATCTCAGAGTGGTACGCGCGAGTATCAGAGTGGTGCGCTGAGTATCAGAGTGGTGCGCCCAGTATCAGAGTGTTACCATGGTAGCAGAGGGAGAGGGAGGGGCTGCAGTATGAGCGTTGGAAGCTCAAATCAAGCGACTCGCTGGCTGTGTATTTGTTGTTAAATATCAGATAAACTACTGCGCATACGTGACTGGCGAGGCGGTGTGTGTGGTGGGGGGGCCAGTGGGGGGGCCATCAAATATATCAGGGTGACCATGGCCCCCCTGGCCCCCCCTGCTGGCGCCACTGCTCTGTGCGCTATAGTGCACGCTTTTAGCTTGCCGCGCACCTGCCCGTTTATCCAGGGCTTTTGATTGGGGAATTAATTCAGTAGTCTTTGGTACTATGTCATCGATGCATTTTCCAATGTAGCAGATGACCGTGTCCTTGTGTGTGTTGATGTTGTTGTCCTCAAACACACACCACTCATGTGTGTGTGTCTGTCTGTCTGTCTGTCTGTCTGTCTGTCTGTCTGTCTGTCTGTCTGTCTGTCTGTCTGTCTGTCTGTCTGTCTGTCTGTCTGTGTGTGTGTGTGTGTGTGTGTGTGTGTGTGTGTGTGTGTGTGTGTGTGTGTGTGTGTGTGTGTGTGTGTGTGTGTGTGTGTGTGTGTGTGTGTGCAGATGCCCTGGTTGTGCGGAGACGCCACCATGATGGAGATGATCGAGAGGAAGCGAGTTCTGTGTCGGGAGATTAAAGGCCGTCAGCGCCCGGAGAAGAATCTTCTGAAACAGGACAGCCTTCCCATCCTGCCCAGCTGGAGGAGGAAGCCTCCGCCATACTCCGCCCCCCCCAACACACACACCACCACCGTGTTCTGGGACACCGCCATCTGAAACACACACACACACACACACACACACACACACACACACACACACACACACACACACACACACACACACACACACACACACACACACACACACACACACACACACACACACACACACACACACACACACACACACACACACACACACACACACACACACACACACACACACACACACACACACACACTGGTGCAGGTGTTGTCCTGTCCGTCCAATCAGAGCGCAGGATGGGAAGGTGTAGCAGAGGTTTCTTTTCTACTCGTTATTTTTCTATTTGACACTGAAAAGATTCAGATGGTTTTAAAGTCTGACCGTCGTGTAGCACATCGTGTAAAACAATATGAGTATCTGTGTGGATAAGAGTCAATCATGTTTTTGTATTTTAAAAATCTGTGACGCTCGTCTGTGCGTGGAAGAAAAGTGGTGATATTTTATATTAAATACATTTTATTATAATGAAAAAATATTTCCAATTGAAAGTTGAGAACATTTTGGCATGTTGTTATTCTGGTCTCACCGACTGTCCCAAAACACACATTAACTTCAGATTAACTGCAGATTATCTCGACATTAACTCCAAATGTTCTCCAGATCTACTTCAGATTAATTTAATTTTAACTTCAGATTTACAGAATGTACTGAAGGTCATCTGAGTTACTAAAGGTCATCTGAAGGTTCACTGAAGGTCATCTGAGTTACTAAAGGTCATCTGAAGGTTCACTGAAGGTCATCTGAAGGTCATCTAAAGGTACTGAAGGTTATCTGAAGGTTTAATGAAGTTCATGTGACAGTGTGTGTTTTCGGGCCGGTGAAGGAATATCTGTTTTCTGAAAGAAATGTTTACTGATCTTTGTGATGGATGTGAACGAGCAGATTCATTAGCATGTCAAATCAATGGTAAGACTGAAGCAAAGCATTCTGGGATACAATGATGAAACCTGTAAATCAGTTTTAAGTCATCGGGAGATTAAATGTTTAAATATGCACTAAAACATTTCAGAGTTAAACTCTGACGAGTTTCTTTTTTTCAGAATAACTTCAATTTACTGTTTGAAATGTGTTCTGATTTCATACCTGAAACTAAATTCACTTTAGGCAGCTAAAGACAACACAGTGAAGCTAACTGTTAGCCTGTAGCTAAAGACAACACAGTGAAGCTAACTGTTAGCCTGTAGCTAAAGACAACACAGTGAAGCTAACTGTTAGCCTGTAGCTAAAGACAACACAGTGAAGCTAACTGTTAGCCTGTAGCTAAAGACAACACAGTGAAGCTAACTGTTAGCCTGTAGCTAAAGACAACACAGTGAAACTAAATGTTAGCCTGTAGCTAAAGACAACACAGTGAGGCTAACTGTTAGCCTGTAGCTAAAGACAACACAGTGAAGCTAACTGTTAGCTTTGGGTGACCAGACATCCCCGTTTTCCGGGGACAGTCCCCGGTTGAAACTGTCCCCGGAAATGTCCCCGTTTTTTAATATACCATAGGAAGGTGAAATAAAACGTTTGATGTCAGAAAACACTGGGTAAACAGACTATGGTCAAGCCAGCCCCCACTTCGGAAAACACAGTCAAGCCAGCCCGCACGTTGTATTGCGGTGTGCGAATTACGGTAGAGGCCTGTAAAAACTGCCTTCAAAATAAAAGCGTTTATTCGGTCAATAACAAATATACCTAAAAAACACACCAAACATATTCATATTGGAGCTTAAATTAAGAAATATGTACTATATAATGTGATCAATAGTAATTTAAAACAAACTACGTATAACTACCACATTATAACTGAGTGAATGTAAAATGTAAGGATACAGTTATGAAGACATATCGGACAAAAATAAAATATAAAATAACAGAAAGTAATGTTATTTTAGTAACATTACTTTCTGAAGCACAATTTAAAATGTATGCTGTTTTGTTAAAATCTCAAATTAGATCTATTGTCCATCTATATTTTGATTATTATTTAATGGAACAGTCCATAATCACAGAATCATTCGAAGTCAATAAAATACTTATTTCTCTTCAGGGTGATAGCAGGAGACCCCATCTAGTCAATCAGAGAAAATCAGGAAAATCTGACCCTAACCCCTAACCCTAACCCAGAGTTTCAAAATAAAATACTTTTGAAATCTCATATATGGGCTATCGTCCTTCTGTTTTTATACGAGAATAAATAAAAAACTTTCAAATTTTCAAAGACTTATTTCATTCCAGGGTGATAGCAGGACACCCCATCTAATCACTCCGAGAGAATCTGGACAATCTGATGTACAGTTTCAAAATAGAAGACCTTGGAAGTCTCATATATGAGCTATCGTCCTTCTGTTTGTATCCAACAGTTAAAATGTTCAAATTAAATTGAACCAGAATTGTCCCCATTTTTTCTTTAACAGTGAAGAAAATTGGATATGTTAATGATGTTTTGACCGCAAAACTCAAAATGTCCCCGGTTTTAATTTTGAAAATCTGGTCACCTTATGTTAGCCTGTAGCTAAAGACAACACAGTGAAGCTAAATGTTAGCCTGTAGCTAAAGACAACACAGCGAGGCTAACTGTTAGCCTGTAGCTAAAGACAACACACTGAAGCTAACTGTTAGCCTGTAGCTAAAGACAACACAGTGAAGCTAACTGTTAGTCTGTAGCTAAAGACAACACAGTTAAGCTAACTGTTAGCCTGTAGCTAAAGACAATACAGTGAAGCTAACTGTTAGCCTGTAGCTAACAACACTTTAGCTGGGGTTGGATTGAACTGACCCAAAGAAAAATGGAGAGCTCTCCTGGGTCCCGGAAGGCACCGTATGGGAACATTGAGTTAATATTTTTGTCGTTAAACAAAGTTTCAACACAGATCTTTTTTTTGTTGTGTTCAACAGTTTGTTCTCTGGTGATTTACCTTACTGTTTTTATATTTAAAATAAATGTAAATGTCACCCTATGGCCTTAGTGTGGTACCTTTCCTCAAATATGTTGGGACCAGTTGTCCCAACATGAAACCACTGATCTGCGATCTCTAGGACTCCAAGCTGTCAGCGATAGAAACACATTTTAACTAAATAAAAAGTTTGGAGATTCATCTAACCCCTATTGAACACATGATAATAAAATCATTGGTAATCTCTTCAAAATAAAATAAACGCAGTAAAAAGCTGTGACCACAGGGGGGCAGACTACACTTGATTACAAACAATTCAATTACAATTCAAAGATGTTATCATCAGATGCATGACATTAATGCTCATCATGAGAACAACATGTTGCATCTCCTCTCTTTAAATCAGCTCTCTCTCTAAATACAGTTTATCGTGTTTATGTACATATTGTTGTTATAATCATCTTAAAATAGTTTTTAAATAGATGTTATAAAAGTCCTACTTCATTTAATTTGTTTTGGTATGTATTATTCTTTCTGTGTCTTTGAATGCACCACATACACCACAGGTAATCCCTCGTAAATAAAACCTCCAGGTAGTAAAACCTCCAGGTAGTAATACCTCCAGGTAGTAAAACCTACAGGTAATAAAACCTCCAGGTAGTAAAACCTCCAGGTAGTAATACCTCCAGGTAGTAAAACCTCCAGGTAGTAAAACCTACAGGTAATAAAACCTCCAGGTAATAAAACCTCCAGGTAGTAAAACCTCCAGGTAGTAAAACCTACAGGTAGTAAAACCTCCAGGTAGTAAAACCTACAGGTAATAAAACCTCCAGGTAATAAAACCTCCAGGTAGTAAAACCTACAGGTAGTAAAACCTACAGGTAATAAAACCTCCAGGTAATAAAACCTCCAGGTAGTAAAACCTCCAGGTAGTAAAACCTACAGGTAATAAAACCTCCAGGTAATAAAACCTGCAGGTAATAAAACCTCCAGGTAATAAAACCTCCAGGTAGTAAAACCTCCAGGTAGTTAAACCTGAAACCTCCAGATAATAAAACCTACAGTTAATAAAACCTCCAGGTAATAAAACCTACAGGTAATGAAACCTCCAGGTAATGAAACCTCCAGGTAATACAACCTACAGGTAATAAAACTTACAGGTAGTAAAACCTCCAGGTAATAAAACCTACAGGTAGTAAAACCTCCAGGTAATAAAACCTAAAGGTAATAACACGATAGTTACGGCTGTAACTACGGTTCTATGAGTCCCGGATAACCGCCAGAGGCGGTGCTTTAGCATTGGATATATCCATCGCACGCATGCGCAGTTCGAGTACCAATAACCACAAAGTCACCTGTGACCCACGTGACACCGGCTACATAGGCCGGCGTAATCAGAGGATCTGTTCCCAGAATCTTCTCGCGAGCACACAAGAATTCTGAGTGACAGGATACTCTGGCGGTCATCCGGGACTCATAGAACCGTAGTTACAGCCGTAACTATCGTTCTATTTCGTCCCTAATGACCGCCAGAGGCGGTGCTTTGGCACTGGATGACTTATACCAACCATGTCATGAAGAATCCAAGCCCTTGCTCACTACCGAAAGCAGCGGAGCTTGGCAAAAGGACCACGCCCAAAGAATGGGGAGTGGTGACATTAACCCGATAAAAACTGGAGAATGTGCCAGAAGACGCCCACGACGCCGCAGCGCAGATGGTCTCCAGGGGCACCATTCTCAGGGCAGCCCAAGATGTTGAGATGCTCCTTGTAGAGTGGCACCAAGAACAGAGCCCTGAGGGACCTCTGTAGTTAATTGACAAGGGTCGGACTCGGACCCTCTCCAAGTCACCTTGTAGGTGCGGTTTTTGAGGTATGAGGTGAGGAGGGAAAGTGCAGAGCCTGAAACTCCAAGTGTTTGGAGAGTGCGAAGGAGGATCTGATGATTCACTGTGTTGAATGCAGCAGACAGGTCCAACAGGATGATGACAGAGGAGAGGGAGGCTGCTTTAGCATTGTGCAGTTCCTCAGAGACAGCAAGGAGGGCAGTTTCTTTGGAGTGACCTGCCTTGAAACCAGACTGGTGCGGATCCAGAAGGTTGTTCTGATGGAGATAACAGGAGAGTTGTTTAAAGACAGCGCGTTCAAGTGTTTTAGACAGGAACGGGAGGAGAGAGACAGGCCTGTAGTTTATAACATCA